CACACAAATTGTGAATGACGACATGGATATGCTTTTATTGAATAATAACTAATGTCACATGAAGGTCTCGTTTGGTTCATATGATAGTAAGTAAAATAACATGTATCTCACACCGCAAGAAAAGAAAAGAAAAAGACATGTATCTTAATTTTTATAGGGAAAGAGATCTCATTTGATTCATAGGTAAGAATTTTCCATCGAGTATAGACTAATGTTTTTTTCATTTGAAATGTAAAGGATTAATTCCTACTCACGTAGAAATAGAAATCGATTCCTATACAAATCAAAGGGCGCCAGAGAAAATCTTCCTCATAGAATTCCTACTAAAATCCTTCCTACTCAGCGGCCAAAAATAGATTGGACAGAGGGGGGGAAATGCTGGGAAATAAATACTTACGGGTTTAATCAAGCCCGCATTCCCGCAGGTAAGGCTGGTCACAATGGGGAGGAACTTAGGAGTAACATCACACACTCCAATACAACTTTGCTTATGTGTCACATATTTAATGAAGAGAGAGGTGCTTGTGGTAACTAGCTAAGTTACCGGAACATCACACACTCCAAGAAACAATGAATCTATAACCTAATAAATACATTGTTGCATGACACTACATAGATGTTCCTACCCATTGTGGAGGTAGTAACATAGTCTAGGGAAGTGTGTAAGTTACTAGACTATGTTCTTGCCCATTGTGACCAGCCTAATGCTGGCGAAATAAATGCTGGCTCGCCAAATCCTTCGCGGAAGGACACGCCGTTCTAGAGGACTGCGGCCCTAGTCCAGCCTCGGAGTACGGACTAGGCTTCTAGAAGCGACAAGCGGCCGCACGGTAGAAATGGACGGGGATTTCCGTGGTACCCAAGCCGTCTCCCGTGTTCTCACTTTCCCCGCTTCCCAACTCTGACTCGCAATCGCAAGCCAAAGCCACCACCTTCTTCCCTGCCCCGTTCCGTCCCAACGGATTCCCACGCCCTACAAAACCCCCGTCGTCCCAGCTTCCCTCCCAGCACCAGCCGCAGTCCCACCTCACCCGAATAAGCATAAACGCGCCCGAGAGGCTTGAAACACACCCGAAAAGCCCTTGGAAATCACGCCGACGGTGGGGGGTTAGGCGAGATGGACGCGACGGCGGAAATCCACAATGTCGCCAGCATGCGGCGCGACAGCGGGTCCATATGGCGGCGCGGGGACGACGTGTTCTCGCGATCGTCCAGGGACGAGGACGACGAGGAGGCGCTGCGCTGGGCCGCGCTCGAGAAACTGCCCACCTACGACCGCGTCCGCCGTGCCATCCTCCCGCCTCTCGACGGCGGCGAGGGCGCGGCCCCCGGAGCGGCGGCGGGGAAGGGGGTCGTGGACGTGCACGGCCTCGGGCCGCGCGAGCGCCGGGCTCTCCTCGAGCGCCTCGTGCGCGTCGCCGACGAGGACAACGAGCGCTTCCTGCTCAAGCTCAAGGACCGCCTCGAGCGGTGCGTGCGTGCTACTACTCGTTTCCGTTTTCTGGCCGGAGCTCGTCGCCATGCCTGCCGGGTGTTTGATGATTTGTGCGTGTTTGGTTGCGCAGGGTTGGGATTGAAATGCCGACGATCGAGGTGCGGTTCGAGCGCCTGGTGGCGGAGGCGGAGGTCCGGGTCGGCAACAGCGGCCTCCCCACCGTCCTCAACTCCATCACCAACACGCTCGAGGTGATCATCGCACCAACACGTTTGTGTCTCAGCGTGTGAGTGGAAGAGATCATTGATTTGTTTTGGTTGTGCTTGGTGCAGGAAGCGGCCAACGCGCTGCGCATACTCCCCAACAGGAAGCGGACCATGCCCATCCTCCACGACGTCAGTGGCATCATCAAGCCACGCAGGTAGTCAAAACATCTCTCTTGCCTTTTGGCCACAGAAAACATGCGATGCTCATGCTCATGCTCATGCTCTGCTTGCCTGCGGAGTACACTTGTCACCTGTTTGAACATTGAACTTGTAGACTTTGACCCGGGTCTTTTGGAACTCGGTTTCATTCATCGCTCCTTCCACCTCACGCTCTTTTCGTTCGCGCAGGATGACACTCCTGTTGGGCCCACCTGGGTCCGGCAAGACCACCTTGCTGCTCGCCTTGGCCGGGAGGCTCGACAAAGACCTCAAGGTCTCAGGCAATGTTACCTACAACGGGCACGGGATGGAGGAGTTTGTGCCGGAGAGGACGGCGGCGTACATAAGCCAGCACGACCTCCACATAGGGGAGATGACCGTGAGGGAGACACTTGCCTTCTCCGCACGCTGCCAGGGTGTTGGCACTCGCTTTGGTACCATTCTCTGCAACTGTCACATGCACTTGCTCATGCATTCATTTCTGCTGTTTTCAGATTCTGTGGGATTGGCTTAGTTTGCTTGAGATATGCTTATCAAGCTTCCTTTTTGTTACATCGCCAGATATGCTGACTGAGTTGTCGAGGCGAGAGAAGGCCGCAAATATCAAGCCAGATGCTGATATTGATGCATTTATGAAGGCAAGACTTGCAAATCCGAAATAAACCAATAATATTTTGGTGGTTTCTGTGTGTTCTTCATGATATCTAATCTGAAATGAAGACTTCATGTTTTTTTTTTCTGTTTATCTTCATTAGGCGTCTTCAATGGGAGGTCTGGAGGCCAATGTGAACACAGACTATATACTGAAGGTAGTACATGAAACTTTGAGCTACAGCTACGAGTAACTTCAGATTGAATTACCCAAATCTGTCTTGCTCACCGTTTGGACATTGCTATATTTTACAGATATTAGGACTAGAGATGTGTGCAGACACGATGGTTGGGGACGAGATGCTGAGGGGCATCTCTGGTGGACAACGGAAGCGTGTTACAACTGGTAAAAAAAGATAGAACTCCAGCTCCATTTCAGTATGTATGTCAACGTCAGCTATTAAATAAACAGTTACATGAATAAGCTTACGTTGATATGTCCTGTAGGTGAGATGCTAGTTGGGCCGGCCAAGGCGCTCTTCATGGACGAGATCTCAACTGGGCTCGACAGCTCAACTACATTCCAGATTGTAAACTCACTCAGGCAATCTGTGCACATCCTTGGTGGCACAGCCGTCATCTCCCTGCTGCAGCCGGCCCCTGAAACGTACAACTTATTTGATGACATTATCCTCCTCTCTGATGGCCAAGTCGTGTACCAGGGCCCTCGTGAGGACGTGCTTGAATTCTTTGAGTCTGTGGGGTTCAAGTGTCCTGAGAGGAAGGGCATCGCTGACTTCTTGCAAGAGGTACTTACATTGCCATTGCTACCACCTTATGTACTGAATGGGTGCTTTTATTAAAGACATGTCTCTGTGTGATTAATGAATAGGTGACTTCGAAGAAAGATCAAAAGCAATACTGGGCGCAGGGTGATGAGCCCTACAGGTTCGTGCCGGTTAAGGACTTTGTGCGTGCATTCCAGTCATTCCACACCGGGAGAGCTATAAGAAAGGAGCTCGCAGTGCCATTCGACAAGAGCAAGAGCCATCCAGCAGCATTGACAACTACGAGGTATGGTGTGAGTGGCACGGAGCTGCTAAAGGCAAACATTGACAGGGAGATCCTCCTCATGAAGAGGAACTCTTTCGTCTACATGTTTAGAACCTTCCAGGTAATTGCCATTAGTACAAACAAATATATTGGTTGGTATATAATGGAATGAGAAGCAACATAGGCATGACGAATTCCCTCATGTTCTGACATTACAGCTGATCCTCATGTCATTTATTGCAATGACGCTCTTCTTCCGTACAAAGATGAAGCGTGACTCGGTAACAAATGGGGGCATCTACATGGGGGCACTCTTCTTTGGTGTGCTCATGATCATGTTCAATGGCTTCTCTGAGCTTGCACTCACCGTCTTTAAGCTACCTGTGTTCTTCAAGCAGAGAGATCTCCTTTTCTACCCAGCATGGGCCTACACAATACCCTCATGGATCCTCAAGATCCCAATAACATTTGTTGAGGTTGGCGGTTATGTTTTCATAACATACTATGTCATGGGGTTCGACCCAAATGTAGGCAGGTGAGATTTATGGGGATCCTCTTTTTGGTTAACAACTACGCATCTTGTTTTGATGCTGTTCGGAAATGTTCTGACAGTACCCGCTATCCATCAACCAGGTTCTTCAAGCAATATCTTCTTATGTTAGCAATCAATCAGATGGCGGCATCACTCTTCCGATTCATTGGTGGAGCAGCAAGGAACATGATTGTTGCGAATGTCTTTGCATCATTCATGCTGCTCATTTTTATGGTATTGGGCGGATTCATTCTAGTAAGAGGTAAATATTCATCCTTCTTGCCTAATAGTCCTTGACAATACAGATTTTTTTCATATGTAAGCCTCCCTTCTTTCGAACTTGCAGAAAAAGTGAAGAAATGGTGGATTTGGGGCTACTGGATCTCCCCACTAATGTATGCACAGAATGCCATCTCAGTGAATGAGTTCTTCGGTCACAGCTGGGATAAAATATTGAATAGCACGGCCTCAAACGAGACCCTTGGAGTGCAAGTCCTGAAGTATCGCGGAGTGTTTCCAGAAGCAAAGTGGTACTGGATCGGTTTGGGTGCAATGCTCGGGTACACCTTGTTGTTCAATGCTCTCTTCACTCTTGCCCTTACATATCTGAAGGGTGAGTGCATGCAGAACTAGTTTGATCATTTTTCGTGGATTTGGTTATTATCTATTCCTGAGAACGGTTTCATCTTGGGGTTTTCCAGCATACGGTAACTCCCGTTCGTCGGTATCTGAAGACGAACTGAAGGAGAAGCATGCCAACCTGAACGGTGAGGTTCTGGACATTGATCGCCTGGAATCACCAAGCAATGATGGGCCGATACGAATGAACACTGGAAATGACTCAGCAATAGTCGAAGAGAATTCTAGCCCCATGCAAAGGGGAATGGTGCTTCCATTTCTCCCGCTTTCACTCACGTTTGACAACATCAGATACTCTGTTGACATGCCACCGGTAATTGATAAAAAAATGCTTCTGTTACAGTATCATCGTAGGTCATTGTCGTAGTTCCTAACCATGAGTACGAAATTTGTTTCAGGAAATGAAAGCACAAGGCGTAGTTGAAGACCGATTGGAGCTCCTCAAAGGTGTTAGTGGATCTTTCAGGCCAGGGGTACTGACTGCCCTGATGGGTGTCAGTGGTGCTGGCAAGACTACTCTGATGGATGTGTTGGCAGGGAGAAAGACAGGTGGGTACATTCAAGGAAACATCAGCATTTCAGGATACCCGAAGAAACAAGAGACCTTTGCACGCGTATCAGGATACTGCGAACAGAATGATATCCACTCTCCGCAGGTGACAGTCTATGAGTCGCTGCTTTTCTCAGCGTGGCTCCGTCTTCCCGAGGATGTTGATTCAAACAAAAGAAGGGTCAGTCAACCAAAATAGCAATTATTAGCTTTAGTTAATACACGATCGACTGTTTCTTACCTCTGTGTATGCAGATGTTCATCGAGGAGGTGATGGAGCTTGTGGAGCTCAAGCCTCTGAAAGATGCATTGGTTGGTCTACCGGGAGTGAATGGTCTGTCAACTGAACAGAGGAAGAGGCTGACCATTGCTGTGGAGCTCGTTGCTAATCCTTCTATCATTTTCATGGATGAGCCAACCTCCGGACTTGATGCCCGAGCAGCCGCAATCGTGATGAGGACAGTGAGGAACACTGTTGATACTGGTAGAACTGTGGTTTGCACGATTCATCAACCTAGCATTGACATATTTGAAGCATTTGATGAGGTGAGTGAGATCTCACAGCGGAGATTTCTACCAGCTTTCCTGTGGAACATTCTCTACTGTAGAAGTGTGATCTGCACGATTCATTAGCCTGGCTTGACCGCTTGATTATGGCTGGTTGTCCAAACCTTGAATTATGCCCTGAGATCTAAACTTCCTGATCAATGCTTGCAGCTATTCCTGATGAAGCGAGGTGGAGAAGAGATCTATGCTGGTCCATTGGGCCATCATTCTGCAGACTTAATCAATTACTACGAGGTAAACCAATGTTACAAGAATTTGAATATTACCCCAATCTAATTTGCTTACTGATAAGCCCATGGTTTTGTTTTGCTCAGGGCATTCATGGAGTCAGCAAAATTAAAGATGGCTACAATCCAGCAACATGGATGTTGGAAGTGACAACGATCGGTCAAGAACAGATGCTAGCCATTGATTTCAGTGACATATACAAGAAATCTGAACTCTACCAGTGAGTAACTTACTTGCCATCCTAGATATAGTCATTTGGAATCACATTAGATGGTCAAGGAAACATAGTTATTTTAAGTATGCTACAGATAAAGTAACTTAGCATACTACAGATAAATAGGTACTAGATTTATTTATGGTATGTCAAAACCTTAGAAGTTTGCTACAGGTAACTCAGCATACTAATACAACTAAGGTATGATAACAAACTGAAGGACTACCCGGTTGTAACATACTAATGCTCTTTGACTTGGACTTAGATTTGCAAAGGCAGACTTCCAATAGGCCAGCTTTTTTTCGGAAACGGTTTTTTTTCTTCGAAGTGGACAATAGGCCAGCTTTCCTTTCTCCAATGCATTTTTGCTATGGCAGATGTAGATGTAATATTGGCATGTTACCTTTTGCAGGAGAAACAAGGCATTGATAAAGGAACTAAGCCAACCCGCGCCGGGTTCAACTGATCTGTATTTCCCTACCCAGTACTCGCAGTCTTCGATCACACAATGCATAGCTTGCCTGTGGAAGCAGAACCTGTCATACTGGAGGAACCCTCCTTACAATGCCGTTAGGTTCCTTTTCACTACTGTGATTGCTCTCCTCTTCGGCACCATCTTCTGGGACCTTGGTGGCAAAATGTATGTCATGACACACACATCCTATATAGCAAGCAAGCAGCCAACCTTTGAAATTTTATTTATCTCTTGGTTCTTATTCCAGGAGCCAGTCACAAGACTTGTTCAACGCCATGGGGTCAATGTATGCTGCAGTGCTGTTCATCGGTATTATGAACTGTACTTCGGTTCAACCAGTGGTGGCTGTGGAGAGGACAGTCTTTTACCGTGAAAGAGCAGCCGGCATGTACTCAGCATTCCCGTACGCATTTGGCCAGGTGAAAGTTGTTCTCTTATTATTCAAAGTTCCAGGTGCTCATGCTCTAAGCTGGTGGTTGCATTACTGAGAGCCAGAGTCTGATTAGTGTTGAAACTTCTCTATTGCAGGTTGTCATTGAACTCCCATACACACTCGCTCAGGCTACCGTACACGGAGTCATAGTTTACTCGATGATTGGGTTTGAGTGGACAGCTCCTAAATTCTTCTGGTACCTCTTCTTCATGTACTTCACGCTGCTCTACTTCACATTCTACGGCATGATGGCTGTTGGCTTGACACCCAACTACCACATCGCCTCAATCGTCTCGTCAGCATTCTACGCCATCTGGAATCTCTTCTCAGGTTTCATCATCCCCCGACCAGTAAGTGCCATCACCTTTGGCAGTCCACATCTACTCCTTTTTTCAGCATTTCGTAGCTTAACTATTCCCCGTTTTACCCTGAAACAATGTACAGAAAGTTCCAATCTGGTGGAGATGGTATTGCTGGGTATGCCCCGTAGCGTGGACACTGTACGGGCTGGTTGTCTCACAGTTCGGTGATGTCACAACGCCGATGGAGGACGGCACTCCCGTGAAAGACTTTATAGAGGGCTACTTCGACTTCAAGCACAGCTGGTTAGGTTATGTTGCTACGGTGGTCGTGGCGTTCGCGGTGCTGTTTGCCTTCTTGTTCAGTTTTGCCATCATGAAGCTCAACTTCCAGAAGAGGTAGATGATGACGATATGAGGCATGTTCTAGAAAGAAATGCATTAGTTGCCCGCAAGTATGAATTGATGTGTACATATCATTTGACCACATGGAATGTTTAGGTTCATTAGTTATCTTATACTAGTACATCATAGAGGTCTATCTTTTGTAAACATTTTGCACCACACGAATGCTTTTTTTTGGTAAACGGAATATATTAATATCAAGACGATATCAAGTACACCTGGCTTCTGCAGCAACTCAATACCACGGGCAACTTGAGACATTGATGATGCACACATCCAAATTATTACTAGAAGGCAAAAAAGAAAGAAAACCAAGATCTTAGGCATGTAGTAACTAACAAAGACATTGACCACTACGGTTACTTTATTCGGAGCCTTTAAAGACGGACTTGGATCCATCACTCCTACCCACAATCCTTTGCAACTTCAAAACCTGGTCTTAAGCACTAATGATTTACATGATCGGGAAGGTCCTTTCAACAAAGAGGAGATTGATTTGGTTAGTGAACATATGCCTGCTGACGAAGCCCTCAGACCAGATGGTTCCACAAAAGCTTCTCAAAGCTTGTTGGCACATTGTAACTCTGGACTTCTGCAAACTCATTGGGGATTTCTATTAGGGTCATATCAATATGGAGAGCATAAATTGTTTCTTCATCACCATGATCCCTAAGAAAGATAACCTTCTCTTCCGGGGACTTCACACCTATCTCTCTTCTCAATTGCGCATTGAAAATTCTCACCAAACTTCTGGCTAACAAAGTGCAAAGGACCATTCTTAAATTGGTGCATAAAAATCAATATGGATTTCTGCATAGCAAAAGTATCCAAGATTGTCTGGCATGGGCTTTTGAATATGTGCATCAATGCTATCACTCAAAGATTGAAATAGTGATTTTAAAACTTGATTTTGAGAAGGCATTTGATTTGATCTGCTTGACCATAACACTATCATGGAACTGCTTACCGCCAAAGGATTTGGACAAAGGTGGATGACCCGGATTAGTAAGGTTTCTAACACTGGTTTCTCTTCTGTACTGCCTAATGGTAACATAAAACCTGGAAAACAATTTTTCTGCACGAGGTGTTAGACAAGGATATCCACTTTCACCCCTCATTTTTGTGTTAGCTGCTGGCCTCCTACGGTCTATTTTCAGTGAACACATGCACACTCATTTGGCCGACTCCCCTTTAAGACATACATCTTGTCATCATCCAATTTATTCAGTGTGCAGATGACACATAGATTATTCTCCCTGCTAAAGCTGAGGGCATTTTACATGGAAAAAACCTTCCGCAATATTATGCCGATTATACTGGCTGAAGGTCAATTATTACAAATCTTTGTTGGTGCCCATTAATCTCTTTGCACAAAGAACTTAGTTTCTGGCTGATTTGCTTGAGTTTGAAGGGGGTAAACTTCCATTCACATGCCTTGGGCTTCCTCTAAATACCAAAAACCCAATCTCTCTGCACAAAGAACTCAATTTCCGGCTGCTTTGCTTGAGTGCCAAGGGCAAAAACTTCAATTCACATACCTTCAGCTTCCTCTAAATACCCAAAAGCCCAACACCAAAGACCTAATCCCTATGCCGCAAAGTGATTACCCATAACAACACACTTCTGATGAAGCATCTTCAGAAATTCATGAACCAACAGGATCTGCCCCGGGTTAGTATTATTTGGGAGTCTTACTACTCAGACGGACCACCAACTGATAGAAAACTGGATCATTTTGGTGGAAATCTATTATTAAGATCCCCCTCTCTATAAACAAATTGCCTCTTGTGATGCTGGTAATGACAAACTGTTTTGTTTTGGGAATACCAGTGGAGGCAACAACAGTTGACACTCTCATATCCAGAATTTCACTCCTTCAGTTATCAGGACATGATCTCTCTTCAGAAAGTCATGGCACAAGAGCACTTTGAAGATTTATTCAATAGACCACTTTCCACTCAAGCATGCACCCAATTCTTGCTGCTTTAGACTTTCCTTTAGGAAAGACAGGTTTTGGCTCATAATGACAAATGGATCTACCCTTGGGGCCATACTTACTCTTATCAATAAAATGTATACACATCTCAGGGGACCAGATAAGGCTCATAGCATGTTCACTAAACTCTGGAAATGTGGTGCTATGCTCAGCTACAAAGTCTTCTTCTGGATTGTACTTTTCCTCAAAGTTGTTGGTAGAAGAGCATGCCCAATAAGCACATAGGCATCTCATTCTTTGATGAAGTTCATCTTGTTCTTGTGGAACTTCCCATGACTATTGGTTTGGATATTGTCATCATGGGCAGCTAGAGAATATGGACCCAACGGAACGATAAAATCTTCAAGAATGCTCAAACTCGAACTCCTAGAGCCACTCTCAATGAATTGCTCAAGTTCACATTGTTGCGTATGAAACCTCGGAAAGTAGGCAAGATCAAGAATTGATGATCAGTATATCTGTGATTAGTCCAGTTAGATAATATATTATTCCTTATGTTGCCTAGAAAAGGAAACTCTTGAGCTATACACTCTTTCCTTTTTTCTGTCATTATTTGTTTTTGTAAATACTACTCATATTAATAGAAAAATTTTGTATAACAATTGTCCTATGGTTTCGGGGTAAAAAAACACTATTGTGACAACACATGGGCTGCAAGAAGGTTCTCCAAAAGCAACACCTTCAGGATGATAAAGACACACAAGTGTCACCATCACCAGTTTCAGTCAAAGACTAGATCTCGAGTTTTCACCCTGAGACCAAAATTGAGCAAATTTCATGCAATGCCTTCAACAAGGTAACAAAGTCGAAACACCGCCATTACCAGGCATGACTGATGAAGGTCAAACCAAGGATTTTCACCCTAAAAACTCCAGTTCTGGTACTAAAGTAGCACCACGAAAACTCAACCACTGTGTGTTGTCGCATCTGCTTGACCAGCAGTGTCATTCCTTCTATCCTTGACGATGCCGAACACGGACAAACGCCCATAAGCATGTATGCGTCGTGTCCTAGACCACTTAGAAACGAATATGCATAATCCTCATGCATGAGGATGATGGAACATGACATCTCAGAAAGTCTTCAGCCTAAATGTTGGGCTTTCCAATCACCACACACAGAGACATAGTTCTGATGCGACCGGAAATTATGCACTACAAAAAAAGACACATATGTGACATTTTGGGTCGAACGAAAATTATTTCTGTCATGCTTATGACACTTCTATGCCGATAATTGTGACAAAAGTACGTATCGTCATAGATGTGGTGGGATCCTACTTCTATGACAAAAAATCATGACAGAAAATGGGCTTTTCGTCCTGGGCGGGCCGGGGACGCACCTGCATGACATTCTTTTTGGGACGTCCATGACAGAAAAAATCGTGGTAGAAGCGAGGGCAAGGAAAATTTTGGGGAGTTCCCGGTTACGGTGGGTGGTCGGGGCCGAGCGATGCACGAAGATTTACGCGTTTCTCTCGTACACGTACGCGCGTGTGTGTGAGGCGTTGGGCTCTAACCGAACCCGAGCGATTGCACTAGCTACGTTACTAAACCCCGATCGATCCCTTGGCTGTTAACTGAACCCGAGTGATTCCTTCGCTACTGTTGCTAACTGAAGCCGATCCAAGCTGCCTCTTGATGAACAGTCTCCGGTGGGGGTTGGATAAACAGGATCCCGTGGTAGTAGAGGCCGTTGCCGCTGGATGAACAAGACCCCGATCGAGGAGGTGGGGGTGGATGAACAGTAGTCGGTGGAGGGACCCCGTGAAAGGCTGGTAGAACAGGACCCCGTGGAGGGCTGGTTGAACAGGACCTCATGGAGGGCTGGTTGAATAGGAGCCGGTGGAGGCTGGATGAACAGGACCCCGTGGATGAACAGTAACTGGTGGAGGCAGGAGGAAGTCGACGGTGGATGAACAATAGTAGGTGGAGGCTGGATGAACATGACCCCGTGGATGAACAGTAACTGGTGGAGGCAGGAGGAAGCCGACGGTGGTTGAACAGTAGCCCGTGGAGTCCCATTTTGCGGTACGCCAGACCCCTCCCAATGAACAGGACCCCATTTCGACCGTAGGCGCTCCAACACAAGTCTGTTTCCTCCGTTTTGCAGTACACCACACCCCTCTCAATCAACAGCACCCCATTTCGACCATAGGAACTCAAATAGAAGGCCGTTTCCTCCATTCTGAGGTACGCCAGACCCTTCCCAATGAACAGGACCCCGTTTCGACCGTACGCGGTCGAACAGAAGGCCGTTTTTGTCGGTTTTGCGGTACGCCATACCCCATTCCGGCTGTTCCGTCCAAGCCGGTTGACTCCTGATGAACAGGACACGTTCCGACCCAGTCACTTGGCTCCTGGTGAACACGACGCTGTTTCCTCCGTTCTGACCTAGCCAGTTAGCTGCCGATGAACAGGACGACCTCGCTGCCGTCCGTTGCCTCTCCATGTACACGAGCCCTGGCCGTAAGTATGCGTGCGTACACGTTCATGACCCCACCCGTATGTATGTGCGTAGCCGTATTTACTTTCTTGCAGCGTGGCTGTACGTACATGTACATGATTTATACAGGACCGCCTCAACTGCTACGTCACACGTGCCGCTCCTTGCTTAGCCACGGTTCATCCTTGCAGAGAGACCGATCGACCAATATGTACGTACACATTCGCTACCAGAGAGACAACCCTACGTACAGTTCGACCCGGTGAGTCCCAGCTGTCAGGGAGGATAAGGAGGCACTTCCTTGCGCGTGAAGATATAGCTGATGGGTCCCAGCTGTCAGGGGGAGGAATCATTTTTTTGCCCGTAATAAGGACGCACTTCCTTGTGTGCGAAGATGCAGCTAGTGGGTCTCAACTGTCAGGGGAAGGAAAAATTATTTTTCTGGGTAAAAAGGATGCAGTTGCATGCATACGTCCATGGGCGTGGTGCGTCCCTACGGTTAGCCTCTCACGTACAGTCATCTTCCGATGACTCTCGTTTGTTGACCATGTTGACCA